TCCCCCTCCTCCTCCCTCTCCTCCTCCTCCTCCTCCTCCCCTCCTCCTCCTCCTCCTCCTCCTCCTCCTCCTCCTCCCTCCTCCTCCTCCTCCTCCCTCTCACCTCCTCCTCCTCCTCTCCTCCTCCTCCTCCTCCTCCTCCTCCTCCTCCTCCTTCCTCCCTCCTCCCCTCCCCTCCTCCCCTCCGCCCCCTCAACCTCCCCTGTCCCTCTTCTCCTCCTCCTCCACCCCTCCTCTCTCTCCTCCTCTCCTTTCCCCTCCCCCTCTCCTCCCCGCAGAGCGCCCCACCCCTTGCTCCTCCCTCCCCATGCTCCTCCTCCCCCGCCTCCACAATTTCACACTATGAATGCTGCTCTCCTCTCTCCCCTGGTGACGTCCAGGAAATGTTCGGCCCCCCTCCGCGTACAGGATTCCCGGGAGACGGGTTTTCGCTTGGGTTTTGTCGAAATGCTGCTCTCGCCAAAGCGCTGGCCCCATTTTCGTGCTACCGCTCGTTCCGAGTCGTGCTCCCGCAGCAGCGCTGGCCTCAGCTCCGCGCTTCCGCCCGTTGCGAGTCGTGCTCCCGCTGCAGCGCTGGCTTCATTATTTCCAGCGCCATGCCACGGCATGGTTTTCGGTCCTTCCAAATCGGCCCCACAATCTACAACATGGCCCCCCGGAACCAACAAAACATCGGAAATGATTACACATTCGGTGCCGATTCGTTGATGTTTGGGGCCGCAGAAGCCCGACCCCCGCTTTGGGGCGTCGCCACGCCATGCTATGGCAGGCTACGCGTTGATCTTCAACACCATGTTATGCCATGTAATGCCATGACCTGCTAAGACATCCGACTGTGCGAATCGAGAGGAGACCTATGCCATGGTAAGGGATGGGAGGGAGGGGTAGGACGTCAGTTATGACGCGAGCGCACCTAGCTTGTCCTCCCCCCCTACTCCTCCTCCTCCTCCTCCTCCTTCTCCTTCACCCTCTCTCCTTCTGAATCGTTCCTCCCTGTCGCACCCCCAGGCGTGTCGGTGGGGCGGGTCGGGTGTTTTGCCTGAGACGTCCTCACCGTTGATGAAACTGAAGCTCGAAAGGTGCAACCGTTTCACGAATTGAGGGCGGTTGGTTTCCAACATATGATTCTTGCCTTAGCGCCACCTGAAGTCATTCTTCCATTTCGCACCCGTTTCACGGGTGGATGGTGACTCGTTTTCCAAATGTGGCTCTTGCTTTAGCGCCGCGTTGAAAGTATGCAGCGGCTTCAAGGATGGAGAACGGGCCGTCTTCTAAATATGGCTCTCGCTCTTGCGCCGCGCGTATTCGTTTAAGCGTTTGCAGCAGTTTCACGGATGAAGGGCGGGTCCTCTTCAACATGTGTTTCTTTTGCAGCGCCGCGCACATGCGTTTTAACAGTTCGCGACAGCGTGAAGGATTCTTACGGTTGAAGTCCCACGAATGATGTTTCGGCGCGATTTAGGGTTGCCAGAACGCAGCAGTCTCGTTGATTCGCGGTGTTGAAGTCCCAAGAATTTGTGTTCTGGCTCGATTTAGGCTTGTCAGGGCGAAACAGTCACGTTGACTCGCGGATCTGAAGTCCAAGGAATGGTGGTCTAGCACGATTGAGGAATCTCCGACGGTGGTGTCCCAGCCGGGCAATTCCCGCAATGCAAGCAGATGTTTGTAGCGACCTGTTTAGAGGGAATTTGGAGGGAGGTTTTATTGCAACATGGTTGATGCGTCTTGGGTGTACACTTGTCCTCCTCGCCCTCCCCCCCCTCCCCCCCTCCCCCACCTCCTCCTCCTCCTCCTTCTCCTCTTCCCTCCTCCTACTCTTCCTCCTCCACCCCCTCCTAATCCCCCTCCTCATCCTTCTCTTGGCTGCTGCTGCTGTTCCTCCTCCTCCTCCTCCTCCTCCTCTCCTCTTCCTCCTCCTCCTCCTCTTCCTCCGCCTCCTCCTCCTCCTCGCCTCCCCATCCACCTCCCCCTCCCCCTTCGCTCCCCTTCCCCTCCCCCCTCCCCCTCCCCCTCTCCCCTCCCCCCTCCCCCTCCCGTCCTCCTGCCCTCCCCCTCCCCGCCGGCCTCCTCACTCTCGTCCTCCCGCCTCCGCCCGCCCACCTCTCCCTCGGCGCCCCTCAGGAGCGGGCTCGGCGAGGCTGGGGACCTCCCCGCCCAGCGTCAGCACGCCAGATCGGGCTCCGCCTTGGGAAGAAGGATGGAGGAGGAGGAGGAGGAGGAGGAGGAGGAGGAGGAGG